AAAAGTAGCGTTAGCTTCTAAACCTTGCAAGCCAAACCCCCCCCCCCCGCCTTTTCACCGCGTAAACAGAACATTCTTTTTTAGAAGCGCCTCGGATTTTGCTTCATAACCATCATGTTACTGTGTATCGGGTCGCGTGCGGAATGATAGCTGGCGACGTCTTACTTGAAATGGCGACTCAGTTTATAAAATCCAGTTTCTTCGCGAAATCCGCGAGACGTGAGGTGGAAAATTTCTCAGACTCCATTTACACACCATCCGTAGTTACGCAGAGCGAAAGCGCATACGGGGGAAGGCCCTGCGCTCACAGCACTGTAGCGCTCGGTAAACTCTTCTGCGATGAAACAAGCATTGTTTAACAAGCTCCGCCTCCGCGAATCTCACCCGACGCGTTCCACGACGGAGCATATGATTGGTCTACAGAAGTGCCCATCAACTCCATGCAAACACTTTGGCTCCTCGCCAGCTCTACAAAACCAATTATGGAACAAGGAGGTCGAACTGTTTCAAGCTCCCCTTCCTTCAAGACTTGAATGATCAGAACAAGCGAAGAATATTTGGAGGGCAGAATATTTCAAGGCCGCTCAAACTCGACTCATTAAAAAGACGGATGCGGACCTGGTTATAACTCAATGATCACACACTACATCAGTCCACTCTAAAGCATTCATGGTACGAGTTGTAGGCCTGCTTTATAGATCAGACCATTCCGCGAAATAGTATCTGGGGCGGTTTAACGGATAGGGATTAGATTAAACCAGGACTAGGTCTTTGTTAAATTGGGACATTTAAGTAGTTTTTACAAACATGCCTCACAAAAAAGCGCTACTTGTGTGCATTTTAAGACCTAACAATGGCACTGATGTATTTTAAGATATGTCAGTGCAAGCTTTTTTCAGTTTAGACAGCCCTAACATTTATTTTAATCTAGGACTAGTCTTCAACCCTGCTCGGGTTTAATGCTTGATCTATTATTATATGGTATTATTACACTTTCATTCTGTTTTCGTACATTTTGAGATAAGCAAAAATATTTTATTTTACTGACAGTCATAGCTTTTATTGGAATAAACTAGGCCTACATTTAGACTATTTAGTGACACATACATTCAAGAATAGATTGTTAATGTATTAGGCCTATCTTTCTAGAGTTTCTCCTTGCTACTGTTGTCTTCAGATGGCACACCCCGGGTGCAAGACAATATTTTGAAACGCTAAGTATATTGAAAAAAATTCCTGTCAAACTATATTTTTTGCAGGTAATATTTTAAGACTTTGCTTTGGCTTTTGTTCAGTGACAATATAAAAGTAATTTATTATATTTAGGAAACAGAATGTTGTCTTATAATAGCATTACTATATTTTTACACACAATATAAAAATTTTTTTTTATCGAAATATAATCCCATTTGGCGGTTCTTGTCTTAAATTTAAAAACCCCTGTCTTGCATTAATGTGAAGTTGAACACATCTGAGATTCTCTAATCCTAAGGCTTGTTACTTCTTAATGTATTTCATCATTTTATCAACCAGGTGTAAAGTATAGCGCATGTGTTTATTTGTTAAAAATTGGGACATTTCCCTTGTCAGTGATCTGTTTCCTTTGAAAATTGTAATAACCACAAGGGAAGTCAGAGAAGCTGTAAAATTGACTACTGGAGTTTCAACAGACAAAATCACAGCCTGTGAAACAAGCTCAAGCTAGAGATATCAAAGTATATTTTTCCAGTTTTCTGAATCACCCGTTCACTGAAGCATGACATCACGATTTCATCTGAACTGCAAACTCTAGGCGATCAATCGATCAGTTCACGAGACCTTTCCACATTGGGAAAACAAGATGATTAGAAGAAAAAAAAGCTGGCGCGGTTTCTAACCGCCCCTGTCGTGCGCCTCTCCGGTGAGGCGGTTTCAAGGCGTCCTCATGAAGGCAGTGGAAGCGGGTCACACAGGAGGAAAAGACCTACTGTGAAGTGTCAGGTTTGAAAGAGCATACCTCAGCTGCAACTCCAAATGAAATGACAACACTTTGGGGAAAAACACCGTGCTTCGGGACTGGCCGGTTTCTCCAAGGACTCGCGGGAACAGTAGCGCTGATTTGCTGTGGAAAGCGCTCGTCTCGAGACGTTGTATCAGTGCAGCTCTACAGCTTCATGGCTCTCTCTGAACGCGTGTGTTTTTAATGGCCAGCGGAGCATTTAACTGCACTCTGATAAAATACCGATTGTCCTTCGGATGTTGGTTAACAGCTGTGCGCCTTACCCAAATCATAAAAACCAGCATGGATTGTTGATTTGGGATCCTTGCTTGCGTCCATTGTTCACGATGTCCCATCGTCTCGATGGTTAAGGTGGGTGTTTCATGCGTGTCGTGAAAATACACATTTGACATGTACCAAGCCTATGTTTTTAAAGGTTCTGTGTTTTACGATTATTATTTAAATGTTCACAGTCCATAAGTAAGCTGGACTGAATATTTAGTGAATATTGGATATGTTTATTAAGGAAATGAATATAATTGTAAACTATAGAATTGTTACATATTGAGAAGTCCAAACGTTGATTTTTTTTTTTTTTGTGAAATCTTATTTTTTGATTCGATTATTGTACATTATAATATATGGCTCAAAGGAAAATATGGCTTATTTTACCTGTAGTTATATTATGCAGATATTTTATAGGCCTATTTATTTAAATATTATCTTACATGACTAATAAATGCTTTAATTGTCTAAAAGCAGTGAGCAATGTATACAAACATAAAGGTATTCAAATAAATGAAAAACAACAAATAAATATCTGGTTTATTGGATGTACCACAAAGACGCTTTTATTTTTTCAAATCTTGCTACAACTTGCAGTCTTGCACATTGATCCAAACAATTTACAACATGAATGCCGGGAAAATCACGTTTTGCACAGATGGGTGCAACATGTGAATCTATATATAAAGTAAAGATATTTTGAGATTAGTGCCAGTTGCGTTGTCCATAATCTAATAAATCAAGAATCAGTGTATTGAAATAAGTAAAAGGTTAAACAAAAAGTTTACACAATTCTCACGTAAAAGGTGAACTGTAATGTACGGCTTGACATAAAGAATTTTGAGCCAGGCAAAACCATGTTTATTCAGACCAGAAGGGAGCTAAATAATTTAATATACAAAGTACAGAAGTAAAACCCACACACATTTTGCATGGTGTGCTTAACAGGCCTTTTAACTGAAATGTGCAAATAAAAGCAACCTAATGCCCTCCAAGAATTTGCAAGTCACACTGGATTGTACATCCCCTGTATAAGTGAAATGGAAGGTAGATGTTTATAATTATAATGCAAGTGCCCACAAAATTCACGATGGACTTAAAGCATTGAAATTCAATCACCGTTGACAGTAATTGCCAAGCAACAGTTTCATTAGCTTGTCTTTTTACTGTTTTACAATACTCTTTACATACACACACACACACACATATATATATATATATATACAAACATTATTGTACACTATATTGACATCTGACTTCAAGCATCTTACCTTTTTTGAAATTTATTTGAAATATTGTCTGTTCTCAATTCAACAAAAATGAACTGTATTCTTGTCTACGAAATATGTAAACTGTTACTGCACAGAAGAAATATCTTGTGATGTGATGATCATTCAAAAATGGCTGATGTCCAAATGTTTGTAAGTCTCAATTTGGCAGGAATATATGAGAAAAGTATATGGCATATTATCAAGATTCTAAAAGTCTGTATGTAAGGTAAACATACAAACTCTTAGGATTTTGCCTGGGTAAACTTTTTTTTAATTATTAATTTGTTTATTTGCAGGGGGCTTGAACATGCTGGGAAAATATCCTACAATCATGAGGGAATCAGTTTCCTAAAACAATAGACATTGACTCTTGAGGGCATATGAACTTCTGACATTTCTAAACAGCATAATTTGTACATCACATTTATGTTCTTGGCAGACACATTTTTACCAAAAGAAGTTCCAAAAGTAACAAAAGGCCTAACTTATTGCAACCAAAGATATAATTCTATAATTTTACCTCTCTACCAGTTGAGCAAAAGGTCAATTCTATAAAATAAAGATATGATTTGCCTCCCAAAGCATTCCAAAGTTGCTTTTGAATCAGATGACTCATGGCAGCCTGTGTGTGTGTGTGTGTGTGTGTGAGAAAAGATATACATGTAGATTGTTGTGGCTGCCATTTCCTAACCATTTCAAATGTATCTGATCCAGTGCATGTTTTAAATGCTTTTTAAAACCATGAACGTGTGGTTTGAGAAAATGAGAGGACTAATTTGAGGGTTTTTTTAGAATGTAAGTGTTTATATTACTCTGTGTGTGTCTTCATTTGAGTAGGTTATTGTGTATAAAATGTAAGTAAAAACAACTCGTGGTTATACTTGCTTTAGCAAGCGCTTTTTGGTGATCGATCGGCTAGGCTAGGCTAGTGAATGTTGTGTGTAAAAAAAAAAAAAAGACCAACTCGTGATAATTTCACCTTGTCTGTTTACTGTGTGTGCAGTGTTATGCTGCATATGAAATTCTAACTTATTAATGACGAATGACGATTGTTGGATAAAATGTTTGTTTTTAAAGGATGAAAAAGATCGTGATTCGGTTAAAAAGGTGTCATGAGAAAGAGCGCCATGTAAAGGTATCAGCCGTAAGTCCGTGGGCTTTATTTCTCAAAGTCCTGAAAAGGCAGGGGGAGGGCTGACCTTAGCAAGCTTTTGCAATTCAGCATACTTGTATCTAACCCTGATATTTTAACAGCTGGCTAAGCTCGTTTTATAAATTGTTACCATATAATTTTTTATATAATACTTGTAGAGTAGTGAGGAGAAGTGACCCCTCCTTAGAAACAAAAGCTAGATGTAAACCAAAGCACCGATGTTTGCATTAAGCTCACATTACTAACTTTGCACATGAACAGAAAAGCTCATTGTTGTGGATGTTAGCCAAGAGTGCAATCTTTTCTACCCCATCAGCAATAAAGATTACTGTTTATCAACAGATATAATTTACAGTCGAGGGCAAAGTTATGCCATGTGCTGTGACTAAGTGTAGAAGAGGTGCTGTAATAACTTTCATCTACACCAGTCAAAAGTTTAAAATGACTAAGATGTTTTGAAAGAAGTCTCTTATGTGCAAAATACAGTAAAAATAGGAATATTGTGAAATATTAAAATTTAAAACAACTATTTTCTTTTTTGATGTAATTTACTCCTGTGATGCCAAACTAGAATTTCAGCAGTCATTACTCTAGTTTTCAGTGTCATGTGATCCTTCAGAAATCATTCTAATATGCTGCTCGATTA